GGAACTAACCCGAAATGAACGATCCACAGAAAATATAATGAAACGGTCGACTATATTATCTCAGGATGTCAGGAAGTGAATAAGACGTAACAAGGTAGTGACATATGTGCACTGGAAAAGATGCAAGAATTACAAAATCAAAACCATTGAGACATGGTATGACCACCAACCAGAAACAGTTACCCAAAATAACGATGTAACTATCCTCTGGGATATGCCAATTCAAATTGTCAAGTCTGCAGTGTGGAATCTTTCCTCACTGCAAACTGCCCGGATATACTGGCTCTCTGTGAGACCAACCTTGTCTCGTCTATCCCCTCCTCTGATCTCTCGATCACAGGCTACCTTCCTCTCCTCAGAAAAGACTCTCTAACCCACATGCATTGGTGTCTACGTCATCTCCCTCTGGCCAGAGAGTTGTCTCTCGAATCGCCAGACCAGTCGTACATGTGTCTCCGACTATCTCTTCTCAATGCGGTAAGCTATCTCTTCTTCCTTTACCGCTCTCCATCCTCTCAAGACTGTGGGATACTCGATAGCATTTCTGACAGCATAGACAAGGCTCTCTCCCTCTATTCGTTTGCTCACATATTTGTGTTTGGCGACTTTAACGCGCATCACTGATCTTGCTCCAAATCTTCTGTAACCCCTTGCGCCCTAGTGGCTTCCAGCCTTGCTTGGGATGAAACGCTTAAAAAAAATAAAAAATAAATAAATAAAAGCCAACAAACCTAATATTATCATAAAAGACAATAAATTCAGAAAGTGTATGCTTGTTGACATAACAGTACCATCTGAGAGTAACAACTCCATAAAAAATATCAAAAAATTGTCCAAATACAAAGAGCTGGAGATTGACATTAACAGGATGTGGGGAATGAAGACTGAGACTGTACCAATAGTAATAGGAGCACTGGGCCTCGTGAGAAAAAGAATGAACAAATTTACTAACAATGTCCCAGGTAACATTAACATACAAGTTGCCTATATGATCGCACTCCTCGGAATATCTCATATACGCAGAAAAGTGCTATCAGTTAAAAGACAATTCTCCTATAGGTCCTAAGGACCATAGTTTGGACCCGGTTCTACACGATACAAAGCAGGAAACATAGCATACACAAATAATAATATTATTAATAATAATAATATAATTATTTATTTAAAAATTATAACATAAATATGTTATAAAATCACTACAAAAATAGCCATTTTGTTTCAACACCTCTGGTGTCTTATCAAGTAATAATAATAATAATAATAATAATAGACAGAGTGGGGCCAATATCTGCACTGGAAAATCTGCAACTTCTACGGGAAGGAAACTGAAAGAAACTGGTATGAACACCACCCCGACCCGGTTTCGAGATAGGGACTGTTAAATTCTATGGGACTACAAATACACACTGACAGAACAATCAAGGCCAACCGCCCAGATATTGTTATTAAAGGCCACAAACAAAAACGGTGCCTCCTTATTGATATGGCAGTCCCTGCTGACTGCCAATGTATCTTTGAAGATATTCAAAAAGCTGTCAAAATACAAGGACCTTGAAATAGAAATCTCGAAAATGTGGCACATGGGAACATCAACAATCCCTGTTGTAGTTGGAGCCCTAGGACTGGTTGGAAAAGATTGCAGTAGACTAATTGAAGGGATACCTGGAAGACCATGCCTCAAGGAGATACAAAAATTGTTCTGACAAGTACAGCCTACACTTTTACGAAGGGCTTTATCTATGTAATTTAATTTTTTTATTTTGTCAGTGGAAAGTGTCATGACGCTATTTCCTAACCTTAGGTCCTCAGGGACCCGGAAAGAAATGTGTAAACGCCAGAAATCAAAGAAAATAAAAATAATAATAATAAATATAACCTACTATTTTTCACTGGTTTAAGTAATTTGGTACATTTTTAAGAACATCTAATTAAATAGATTAACTTATTTAGATAATTCCATAATTTTATTTTCGACATCGCTTGATTAATTTGTCGTAATATGAAATCGCAGACGACAACAACATCACAGGAAATAAAAACGTTTCCGGGCCTAAAATTTTAGAAATATTTCTAATATTTTAAATATTGTTTTTTTCATGTTGGCTTAAGAAAACGAAAAAGAAAAAGTTATTTTTAGAAGTGAAGATGGCGTTAGTTTTATGTTTTCTTTAAATGTGAACGCAATATTTTTACCGCAAGCTTAGATGGAACTTTTACAATGCAGATAAAAATTTCTCTTTATAGAAACATGATGAATTTAAAAATGAACCAACTCTCAGAATGAAAAATAGCGAGTTCTATGACAATAAAATATTCGTAAAAATTACCCTATTGTGTCGTTAAATATTTGAGTTCAAAAATTTTAACAAAATATTGCAATAACAATTATAAATATGTATACTTGTCATTATTTTAAGAAGTAATTGGGTACAAATGAAAAGATTTGAAATTAGCACCCCAACTCTCAGAGCAGATTTCTAGTGGATATAGTCAACCTACTAGCAGGGAATTTTAATTCTTAAGTTGATTGAATAATTTCATGGCGAATTCTACGACAATAAAATATCCGTAGAAATTCCCCTATCGCATCGTTAAATATTTGAGCTTAACTTTAACAAAATATTGCAATAACAATGATCAATAAAACCGCATGTCAATCTACTTGTACGTCCCTTCTCGGACTTTTGCCTAAGATCAAAGTGTAGTATCTGTTCTCATCCCCTTAATCTGATTTTTTCTCTCTCTCTCTCTCTCTCTCTCACACACACACACACACCAATTCTAGCTTCACTTCTTTCTTTCAGAAACAGCATAGAAAGAAAACATAGAGAAAGAACCGTGAAAATTTCCCGTTTAGCTTATTTGAATTTTCTTATGAATCTTAATTCTTCAGTTAATGATTGAATAAGCCCATGGCGAGTTCTATGACAATAAAATATCCATAGAAATTCCCCCGACGCATCGTTAAATATTTTAACTTAACAAATTTAACAAAATATTGCAATAACTATCATCAATATGAATGCTGGTCGTTAGTTAAAGAAGTAAGGGGGTACAAATGAAAAGATTTGAAATTAGCATGCCAACTCTCAGAGAAGATTTCTAGTGGATTTCGTCAACCTACTAGTAGGGAATCTTAATTCCTAAGTTGATTGAATAAGCTCATGGCGAGTTCTATGGCAATAAAATATCCGTAGAAATTCCCCTATCGCATCGTTAAATATTTGAATGCTGGTCATTATTTTAAGAAGTAAGGGGGTACAAATGAAAAGATTTGGAATTGAGCTTAACAACTTTAACGAAATATTGCAATAACAATGTTCATAAAAGCGCTTGTCAATCTGCTTGTACCTCCCTTCTCGGACTTTTGCCTAAGATCAAAGTGTAATATCTGTTCTCAGCTTAACAACTTTAACAAAATATTGCAATAAAAATCATAATTATGAATGCTGATCGTTATTTTAAGAAGTAAGGGGGTACAAATGAAAAGATTTGAAATTAGCATGCCAACTCTCAGAGAAGATTTCTAGTGGATTTCGTCAACCTACTAGCAGTGAATTTTAATTCTTAAGTTGATTGAATAAGCTCATGGCGAGTTCTATGACAATAAAATATCCGTAGAAATTCCCCTATCGCATCGTTAAATATTTGAATGCTGGTCATTATTTTAAGAAGTAAGGGGGTACAAATGAAAAGATTTGAAATTAGCATGCCAACTCTCAGAGAAGATTTCTAGTGGATATAGTCAACCTACTAGCAGGGAATTTTAATTCTTAAGTTGATTGAATAAGCGCATGGCGAGTTCTATGACAATAAAATATCCGTAGAAATTCCCCTATTGCATCGTTAAATATTTGAGCTTAACAACTTAAAAAAAAAATGCAATAACAATCATGAATATGAATGCTGGTCGTTAGTTAAAGAAGTAAGGTACAAATGAAAGATTTGAAATTAGCATGCCAACTCTCAGAGAAGATTTCTAGTGGATTTCGTCAACCTACTAGCAGGGAATTTTAATTCTGTTGATTGAATAAGCTCATAGCGAGTTCTATGACAATAAAATATCCGTAGAAATTCCCTATCGCATCGTTAAATATTTGAATGCTGGTCATTATTTTAAGAAGGGTACAAATGAAAAGATTTGAAATTAGCATGCCAACTCTCAGAGAAGATTTCTAGTGGATTTCGTCAACCTACTAGCAGGGAATTTTAATTCCTAAGTTGATTGAATAAGCGCATGGCGAGTTCTATGACAATAAAATATCCGTAGAAATTCCCTATTGCATCGTTAAATATTTGAGCTAACAACTTAAAAAAAAAATGCAATAACAATCATGAATATGAATGCTGGTCGTTAGTTAAAGAAGTAAGGGGGTACAAATGAAAAGATTTGAAATTAGCATGCCAACTCAGAGAAGATTTCTAGTGGATTTCGTCAACCTACTAGCAGGGAATTTTAATTCCTAAGTTGATTGAATAAGCGCATGGCGAGTTCTATGACAATAAAATATCCGTAGAAATTCCCCTATCGTATCGTTAAATATTTGAACTTAACAACTTTAACAAAATATTGCAATAACAATCATGAATATGAATGTTATTGATTGATTTTATTTCATTTATAATTTTCCGTATTATTTGTCTTAACTCTATTTATCGTTAATTATTCGGCAGTAAATAAAATTATATTTTTCCTTTCACAAAAAGAATCGAACTATTTTAGGCATGAAACTGAAATAGACATCACTGTTGACAAGGCTAATTTCATTTTCTATTTCGCAACGACACCTGGTTAACAGGAAAATTGAACAAACCGTAAGGTGCTCAGCTTGTAAGGACGTTATTAGTAAAATTAAATAAAAAATAATAAGAATACATCCAGCATTTCAACAAAAACTGTTCCTGCCGGAAATATGGACATCCCGCGAAAAGACATTAAATTCAATCTCTCCACCACGAACCTTTGTACGGACAACACGTTTCTGACTTTTCTCTGTGATATGGTTTGTAATACTTCGGAGTAAATTCTCCCTTTTATCACGTATACTATAAAATAATTGTAACCGTAAAATACCCACACCAATACACACGAAATATTTAAATAAATTACATGAAAATAACACACAGTTTACCATAATTGTCCTGTTATTTGTGTACGTTCTATTTCGTGAAAAATATGCTTTTATCTTTGTGAACAGGAGGCTAATTTCTGATGTTAGGATGCGCCTGACCCTCCACAAGATTAAAAGTCAGTACTATTATATTCTACATATTATACTCTATAACTGGATATAATTTATAACAAATTTCTTATGGACAAAGAATTTAGATTTGAAATTTGACCATCTTACCGTCAGCGAAACGACATGTAACGAACGGGAAAAAAACATTCATAGACCGCGTGACTGGACTGAATTAATCGACCTGAAGATATTTCTAATGGAATTCTCCTACACAGATACACGTTGCTTTTATTAAAGCCTGTCACCAAGTGGCGCACACTTGCCTGTACTGCATGCGCCCAGTCGACCCTTATCAGGATGATTTTTATTAGGCCTTGCATATTTGTAGCCCAGCGCTACATTTTAGCATGTCCGTCTCTCATTTAATAATAATGCAGGGTGAATGTCCTTTATCAAAAATTCCTAAAATCGAAAACGTGCAAAATTTGAAAGTTTTCCAGGTGATGACTTGCCACAAATGGAAAATTTCAGAAATCATTTAACGGTAATCAGAATCCATATTTGGTTTTTTATATACATATACTGTACCTGAATTATAACATTTTTTTACTGTAGCTTCAGGAAATATGTTATTTATATAAAATTAATTTCACGGTGTATGTATAAGCTTTGTTTGGAAATGTAAAGGGACATCGTGTATATTTTTGAATTCCACTCCCAAGGTACCTCATTTTATAGATGCTATATACAGATTAAATAGTCTGTGTAAGAGTTCACGCAAAAATAATGTTTTGTACTTTCTGTACGTGTAAAAAAATATTGATAAAACATAAATGCTTTTTTTTTCTTTTCACTAGTCCATATGGTTATCTACAGGACTTTTTCACATTTGGAATAATATCTTTAACTAGAAGCATGGCCCGGCGTTGCCCGTGCTTGATTCAAAAATCGTACGACTCATACAGCACTGCACGCATTAACCTGTTTCTTCCCGCGCATAGCGTGATCTTAAATTAATCTGCATTTAGGAAATACCCAACCGGAAAAACATTTTTAAGGGTTGACCGATTGTCGATTTGCACTCTGTTTGGGGGGTGCTCAGAGTTGAAACTTCACATGGTGACTCCCAATGGCCTCCTCATAAATCCGATCGGTTTTCGCTAAAAACCAACATGTGGTTCAGGTGCAATCTGGACGTATCGGCTTTTGGTTTTTATCGATTTTCCGCGCTGTTTAGGGGTCCGTGGTCATGAAACTTCTGGACAACACTTCTAATCGTAGACTCTAAAAGGGTGTCAAATTTGGTTGAAATGCAATAATTCCTTCTGTAAGCAGATTTTTTCGATTATCGATTTATTCGATTATCGATTTCTTCGGAACCTGAGTCTGAACTGAAAAGTCGAGCTGCGTCATGTCATTAAGGCAGCCATTTGCAAACTTGTGGTGAAAACCGCATCGAAATCGGGTGAGAAATGCGGCCTGGGCGAGGTAACAACGCCCACGACAGACACACAGACAGACAACATGAGAAATATAGATAGTAAATTTTGTAGCATATCTACTGACGATAATGCGTATGTTCACATTCACATAAAAACAGTAGTGAATACTGTATGTTGGTCTGCTAGTCAACAGTTGGAGATTCGTCTTCAGCTGGGCTGGTTAAGCTGTCTGTCCCATGGGCGGAGAGCATCCCCAGATGGGCCTATGCCAAAGGGCAGAGGCTCGTCACGGGAAACATCTACCCGACCCCGTTTTATACGGTAATGAATGATAATATTTGGGACAAAAACAACACATATACGGGGAATTTTTGGCTAAGCCTACGGGCTCGGGAACCCCAAAACTCGGTGTTGTGCTACATCTGACTGCGTGAGGTAGTTGATGATCAGTCTTCAGCTGGGCTGTTAAGCTCTCTGCCTCCGGGCAGAGAGCATCCTCAGACGGGGCTATGCCGAAGGACAGAATCTAGTCTCGAGAAACATCTACCTGATCCCGTTTTATACGGGTTCTACGAGGAATTTTTCGCTGAGCCAACGGGATCGGGAGTCCCACATTAAATTCGGCCTTGTGCCACATCTGACTGCGTGGGGCATTTGGTTGATATTGTCTGCCGTCTTCAGTTGGAGATTCATTGTGGAATTCACTTGACTTACTTCTAGCAGTTGACTACTTCTTCTACGCGCCACTGGCGAATCTTATATGTGTTGTTCTTGCCCTAAGTATTATCGTTCATTACCAACCTTTGTGTGATTATTCTATTCAGTAACCTTCCCTAGGTTACAACATTTACTGAGCACGAAACACCTGGTAAGTAATCCAAGAATGAAGGTATTACCGTGATGATTACTTTGCTTTTATTTCTGAATTCACTATTTGCCCGTAGCTGGGAACTTAACACTTGTTACCACCCCGGGTCAGAGTAGACCTGAAAACAAAAAACAATTAAGGGGTGGTTCTATGCTTCTCAAAACCTCTAATATTCCGATCAGAGGCCTTGCCGCAGGATATAATTTATCATCATACATGGGTATTATAAACCTAATATAGAGAGAAAAGGTAGATCACCGCCCTCTGTGGGATCAGGTTGAGATCATAGACAAAGAACACCATTGGAAAATTCGTAAACTTAAGGAATCAGCACATATGCTAGGCCACAAAAATCCCCTGAGCCGACCAAGCATAGAAATGAATACAATATGGGAACCAGTAATAAGAAGTACCAGAGAAAAGCGATAAGAAGAAGAAAAATTGCAATATGAGCTCTGGTAAAAATATTTAATGATAACAGCAAAAATTTCAAAATGAGCACTAGTAAAAAATGATTGCTGAACACATTAGGTATATAATATCCACAAATTCATACAAAGATGTCCTCAAAGACACATGGCATAGTGGATAAAGTCTTTAGTTAGATCCAGTGAAGGACCCAAAGAGTGTGAGTTCAAGGCAGTGGAGAACTTGGAGAGGCGAGTTAACAGGAAATAACTGACAACTGACATCCATTAAACATGGCATGTGAACTAGAACAGTCTACCCTAGTGAGCGAAATAAAGGGTTCAGTTCGACATTCCAGCCACCTGAATAAGGCCGGAGCGTACAACGGCCGAAACGGTGTGATACATATGGCGACAAAGATGAGGACAATAGTCAAAAAATTGTAAATAGTTTACATAATACCTCATCGCAGAAATAAAGAAAATAGTTTACATAATACCTCATCTCAGAAATATAGATAAATAATGACTAGCATCATTACCTATATTAGTATGTACCCAAAGTTAATTAAATTTTATATAAGCCTACTTGTAGGATATATGCTATTTATATACAACTACCTTCAGGATATATCGATAAGGTATATAATGAAATGTAAAGGGATATTGTATTTATGCTTGGGTTTCATTCCTAAGCTGCCTCATTATATAAATGCTATATACATATTAATTAGCCATTATTTCAACCCCCCCTCCCAATTCTAAAAGCCGAAGCACTTTCGGCTCCAAGAATTTTGGATAAAGGATTCTTAATGTGTAATAATAATGATAATAATAATAATGATAATAAAAGACTCCAACCAAAAAAAGTGCCTCCTTATTGATATGGCAGTCCCTGCTGACTGCAATGTATCTTTGAAGATATACAAAAAGCTGTCAAAATACAAGGACTATGAAATAGAAATCTGAAAAATGTGGCACATGGGAACATCAACAATACCTCTTGTATTTGGAGCCCTAGGACTGTTTGGAAAAGATTGCAGTAGACTAATTGAAGGGATTCCTGGAAGCCCATGCCTCAAGGGGATACAAAAAATTGTTCTGACAAGTACAGCCCACACTTTACGAAGGGCTTTATCGATGTAATTTTTTTTTTGTCAGTGGAAAGTGTCATGATGCCATTTCTAACCTTAGGTCCCTGGGCGGGAACCGGAAAGAAATGTGTAAACGCCAGAAATCAAAGAAAATAATAATAATAATAATAATAATAATAATGATGATGATGATGATGATGATGATAATAATAATACTACGGAAAATTGTTGGATTTATGTAAAAACACACCCTACGTCCTATTCACGAAATTCAGTCCTGGCATAAGCTATTTTTATTTCCGACGCTCGCTACAATATCTCAGCTGCTCGCTTTTACCTGCTTCGAGTAAGTAATAATATTTACTGAAACGACATTATTATTTTTAATATTATTACCAGTTGTCTAACAGGAATTATTGTAACAAAGTACAGATGACATTTTTCCGGTAGCAACTGATCGATCCATCATACCTTGTGCCATACCAAACTCCATTTACCAAAATAAACATTACTGATATAAATTCAGACCAGCAGAAGGAAAAAATAGGTTCATATCTTCCTTGACC